TAGGGCTCTGGAACACCAGGGTTTGAATTCCTACTCAGCTATGGAAACTTACAGGGTGACCTTGGAGGAGTCACAACTCTATGAGCTCTAGAGGAAGACAATGGCAAGCCACCTCTGGATAAAGCTTGTCAAGAAAACCTTGTCACCATATCGTAGTAATCAGAGTCAAGCTGAAGACACATTAATAACAAACCACAGCAGAATGAATGGCATGCATTCCTCAAGATATTGAGACTGCAATATCGATCCACTCTAGCCAGCAGTCAGTGGTATTTCATAACATGGCATTAGGGTCACCAACTTTGCATTGATGATAAATTTAGTAAGGATAAGGCTGAGTCATGACAGTTACATACAGTCTCCAGGATCAGGGATAGTAAAATTCTAAATACTGTTCACTGAGTAACTACTGTAGGAGACAGTTGTTGCCCTTGTGACTTGCCTGGGGGGTTATTGCTGGACACTCTAGTAAAGAGGATACAATGGCCTTTGTCTGATCCAGTGGGCTCTTCTTGTGTTCTTTTTATGTTGTGTTCTTATTTGACAATCGAGCAAGAGGGCAATGAAAACAACCAGACTGAAAGCCCAGAGTATCAAACAGAATTGCCCAAACTAATTACCATCACAAGCAATCAGGAATCATCTAGTTTGGAGTCCCAAGTAGACAGGGAGTCTATGAACTTCCAGCTCAGCATAAATGAGGATGCATGTTTTAGGAACTTCATTCTCAAGATGATTAAAAATGACATCCTGTGTGTTTTTCTTCCAGCATAACATTAATACAGTTTGATTGGTAGCAAATAGCCCACAGGATCTGAAACATCTCAGCTGGAAACAGACAGGGTTAAAAAAAAGTCATCCTCTCCTCTCAACCACACTCCTCTGAAACTGCAGAAATAGAAGCAGAAAATAATAATATAGATGCATCTGAAGCTAGAAGGATATATTCAGATGCAAGCTTTTTATGCACTGAATGATGGTGACTCCTTCAGCATTGAATGCAACCACAAGGAAATAATATCTGAAGCAGGGTGGACATTATGCAGCCCACAAAAGCATTCTGTGCATACAATAGAGTGAAAAGAGCAGGTGAGGGTTACAACTGAACGCTGTGGGCTGTGTTCCTGATTGCTAAGTTCAAAAGAATAATAATCCAACACACCTGCAGGAGAGTTGGTTGGAAATTGCTAGTTCAGACTCCTGAAAGAAGGGGAAAGGATGACACTAGGGTAGCTCAGTTTAATGTAATCCAGGCCCCTTCTACACTGCCACATAAAATCCACATAAAATCCAAATTATTGGCCTTGAACTGGATTACATGGCAGTGTAGACTCACATAATTCAGTTCAAAGCAGATAGTGTGGAATATCTGCTTTGATAATCTGGATTATATGGCAGTGTAGAAGCTTTGTGAGCATACCATTTCTCATTTAATTGTTTCATACGAATATTTTGTTAATGGATGCTAACTAGTACTTGGGGTATGCCGATTATCCTAGATCTGTCTGTACAGATCTAGGGCAGTAGATGAGCCCTTAGCTCTAAATAAAGCTTGACTGAACTTTTTTTGACATGTCC